ACCTGGGAGCAAAAGCCGTAAAATGGAAGTCTTGCACACCCCAAGACTGAAAAGCCTAACTCCTCAAACCCTAAACCCTAAACCCTAAACCCCTAAACCCTAAACCCTAATTCCTAAACCCTAAATCCCAAGCCCTAAGCTCCAAAGTTTCAAACCCCCGGGCCAGGATGCCGAGAGGGGCTCCACGAACCTGGCCCTGCCACTGCCACGCGAGCCTCCCGCTACGTGCCTTGGCTTGGAGGGTTTAGGCTTTAGGGCTTAGGGTTTAGGGTTTAGGGTTTTCGGGTTTAGGGTTTAGGGTTTAGGGGTTTAGGGGTTTAGGGTTTTGGGATTCGGGGTCGTAGAGGGTCTACCTACTATAGTCTTCATTGTAGTTCTTTTTTTGGATTTACTTTCTAGGATCCTAACTTTAAAACTGGTTAAACAAAAATGAGCTACAATGGAGACTGTAGGTAGTACAGGGCCTTATCAATTTGACTAGAGTTTTGGTGCGTAGTCTACTGCAATTGTTAAGTTTTTCGGTAGGATGACATTATATAGGGGAATCCGGTCGAAGTCGCGTTGCACCTAGGGTTTAGGGTTTAGGGTTTGGGGTTTAGGGTTTAGGGTTTAGGGTTTTATGGTTTAGGGGTTTGGGGTTTAGGGTTTAGGGGTTTAGGTTCTCAAGATGGGAATCCACGTGCACTCCGGGTTTGCGCTACCCCGCAGAGGGACACGGGCCCTAAACCTTAACTCGGCTTCGAGGAGTCAGGTGTCGGTCTTTAGTTCCATACCCCCAAACCCTAAAGCCCATGGCATGTCTTGTTTCTTATTACATATAAATTGTGGACTATATTACTATACTATATGTTTTAATGCAATATGTGTTTACATATTATACAGTCTGTTTACTTCACTCATATATATGTATATATATATATATATACATATATACACATAAGAACATACATACGTGTATATACTTTTCCCAAAAACCCCTCTGGGGTTGGGTTCTCGTTCAGAACGGTAAGCCGCGAGAGCGCGATAACGAAGCCGACGCGTCCGGGAAGAGCAAACGAAGAGAAAGCCGTGTACGGAGGGATAGCGGAGCCGACGGGAGTGGAACGAGCCGACGGGAGAGCCCGACGGGAGAGCAAATGAAAATGGTACACGGGCAGGGTGCACGGGTGCACGGGAAGGTGCAGGAAGTGGACAGGGAGGGGACCGGGGCTGAGAGCGATAACGGTGCACGGGGACGGTGCACCGGTGTACAGTGTAGGGAAGGGGCAGAGAGCGATAACAGTACACGGGAACGGTGCGCGGGTGGGGACCAAGACAAAGAGCGATAACGGTGCACGGGGACGGTGCACGGGTCTAGGGAAGGGGAGGGGCAGAGAGCGATAACGGTACACGGGGAACGGTGCACGGGTGCACGGGAAGGTGCAGGGAGGG